TAATTGAGCTCCAGGATCTTCACTATTGCGATTTGCCGTTGAATTTGTCCGAAGTCTTCAACTTGGTCATACAGAACCGCATGGGCCGAGCTCACCTAAATAAAAGTGAAAGTGTTACAGCGGCAAAGCAGGTAGTTACAAACAATTTGCTTGCATATTCGCATTCCACTTTCAATCTCCATGCAAATAGGCGCTTTCTATTTCCACATGTTGGCCCAGAAGACAGCGTGGAAAATCGCATTTCGACTTTGGTTACCGCAGCGTTTGAATTTTTACAAGAGCATTCTTTGCAGCCGGAAAACATCGACACCCTGCTACTTTGCAGCATTTGTGTGTATCATTCGAAAATCGTGGCCGGCCTCTCTCGCATGAACAAAATATCTGCGTGGACGCCTTTTTTCCAAAAACGAAGGACATACATACCGGGAGATGCCATTTTTTGCAAAGACAAGTTGGCAGCGCACGCCTTACCAGCGCACATCACAGACTTACAGCCTGATTCGACCACGCCTTCAGCTGCCTTTGCCCCAGCGCCTGTGACATGCCAGTTGTGCCACGCGTCACTTGTTAGCATGGATGCGCTCTGCAAGCATTGTGACGACAAACATGCTAACTTTGCAGAGTACCGCAAAAAGGTCTTTTTTAAGGCACAGCAAGCAAACTTTCAACCAATGCAACCTTGGGTCAAAAGAAGTCTGATTCAAAATTTTGCATTCTTTCAAAGATATGCCACGCCAGGACATCATAATGAATGGTTGGCAGGTACATTTGACCATGCTCAGCCACGATCTTTGCATGCTTGTGTGTTTTGCTGTGTTCGTGACTATCCCGAAAATAGATTCGAAGTCTTTTTGTTTCAAGAACCCACAGGCTCCATGTCATGGAAGCAGCATTTTTACAACCAGCAGAAAGAAACGAACGCGCGCGATCAAGGGTTGTTGCTGTTTACTGCTGACGGCAAGTTTTGTGTTGGGCCGGCAGAAAAAGTGAATGCACTACTTGCAGTGGAAGCATACTCAAAGTTACAACCGCACATACCCTTGCAAGAACTCTACGCTTCAGCAGTTCGACATCCGGATCACGCAAATATGCATTGGCTTCTCCATTGCAGAAGGGTTCCAAAAATTCCTTGCCAAGCGGCGGGAAACGTGATGTGTGCAGGCGTTGGCAAAAAGGACGAAACTTGTTTTGCCTGCAAAACATGCCTGGAACATTTTTGTCAAGTTTCTGGCCCAACAATGGCACCGTTGGCTTTGTCTAACATGAATTGGTTAGGGCGTGAGCAACCCCTTTACCCAAAACTTACTTTGGGTACCAAATTGCTCCTCGGCAAAGGCCGTCCCGTCATGCGGCAGATTTTCTTAGGGCCTTCGACGGCCAAGGAGTCCTATAAAGGCTTGGTGGGCAACACCATTCTTCTAGCGCAGGCCGAAGCAAAGACTACACAGATCTTACCATCTTTGAACAAAGTCTTGGATCAATTGGTGATTGTTTTCACAAGAAGTGTCGAGGAAGTCAAAACCTGTAAGGCATTAACCGTCAACCGCGCAGAGTTTGTGGACTGCTTGCGCTTGAGAAAGAAACATTGCCCTGTGTTTTTTGACACCGATATTGATCAAGATGCCGTTCAGAAGCTGCCAGTCGAAGGGGTTCCAAACGAATTTATCGAACATGCCATACATCTTCCGGAATCAACATTTTTGCAGCGTATGCAAGGGCCGGGCGACCTGCCCGTGACAGCGCCTCCGTCCAATACCGATGGCAACATTGCTGAAGAGTCTGATGATGACCACGAGGTTGCGCAAGCTGATGATGAATCTGTCCATGACGATGCGCCGGCCTGCGCAGATGAAGGCCATGAGCGTGCCACTCATGAATCTCAAAAAAGCCCTGAATTTATGATTGCCATTGATTACGAGCAAGACCCGAAACCGGCGCAACTTTTTCAAGCGATGCAAAAAAAATTGGAACATCTTCAAAAAGAAGTTGCAAAAGTTAAGACCAACCAAAGTGGTGCTTGGGAAAACGTTTCAGCCACTGTGCGACAAGTAGGTCAGCAAGAAACTTGTCAACGCCTTGTGATCGATTTACAAGACACGATGAGGAAACTATTGAAAGAAGCCAAAAATTTGGACGACGTGGCAGCAAGTTTGCTCCAGACCTCGGTGACTGCTGATTTTTTCGAAAAGGGTGGTCAAATACACATCGACGCTTTGGCAGTGCCAACAACGACAGTCTTGAGCTCCTTTGACCCCAGAAGCTTTCCAAGCTGCTTTGTCGAGTTTTACTATGGAGACGCAGTGCCTGGCCTCTCGGGACGCCCAAATTCCACAGTGACATACCAAAGCTTGTTTTCTGCACTGATGCAGCGCGAAGAGATGGAGTATTCTTGTTCTGATGATGTTGAGCCGTACCAAGCCCGTGCAGTTTCTCGTTTTGATTCACCAGAATTTGCTGCCCTTTTTGGAGACATTCTTCGGAAAATGAAAACACTGCAAGCAGTAAACGCGTCGTTTCAGAGGCAAGGCTTCGAGAAGGACTTGAAGACAATTGCTTCTTCGCAAACAACCGATTTTCTGGCCGCAGCTGCAGGAGAGATGTGCGGCAATAGCGTCGGACAAATAATACAAAATGCAGCAACGCCTCCAAAAGTTCGAGCAGCTCTGCGGCATATGTTGTTTTCAACCGCCACCGTGCCTTTGACAGAGGGGTACAAAGTACGGCTAAGGCATTTTGGGCAATCGCTGACTCATTGTTTCGGACCAACCACTGTGTTTTGCACACACAATTATGGTGACACCTACAACCCACTGATGCGTCAACTTTGTGAAAATCTTGGCCCTGAGTTTTTGAAAGACACGCCCGAGATGCCGCCTCTCCAAAAAATGCACGAACTGACTGCGGCTCATCCAGCTTGTACTGCAAAGTTTTTCTTGCTCGTGGAAGAGCTAAATTTTAGACATATATATGGTGTTGATTCCATTGGTCTGGGCATCTACAAACTAGCCAGAGCCGTAGGCCAATCGAGTATCGAAGACGACTTTGCTTCTAGCAGTGTTCCTGGCGTTGCTGGATTTGCGTTGGCGATCCTTGAAGCTCTTGAAGCCCAAGGGCGAGGGTTTCAGCATGGACACCGTTTGGTCCGCGCAATTCCTGGGTTTCTTGCAAGCATGCAAATTCAAGATGGTGACTTGTCCCCGAAAAGTTTGCGTGCCAAAATGCTGCAGCACAATGCAAAGCTGATCTCCCAAGTCAACACATTGCAGTACGAGAAGTCGACCTTGGTGGGTGAACAAGCTGGCATCAAAATGAAGCCAGAACCATTCAGTGCTCTTCAGCAAAAACAAACAAAATTTGATGGCGGACTAGAAGCTGATGAGATCACTCAAAGATTGTTGTTGCCTGTTGTGGCGGCAGAACGCTTGAAGCACGTGGAGCGCGAAATCGCTGCAAGCGAGCAGCAGCAACGCCCACCAGCAAATTTCTTCAAAGAGGTGTCATTGACAGGTGCCGAATTGAGCACGCTGCCAGAATACAAGTTGCCTTGTATAATTCCACAGGCTGCAGCCTGGAAGGGCCCACTTTCATTTTCCGTAGATTGTGATGAGTCTGGCGTCATTACCAAGGTTGCTTGCCCTGATGGTGAAGATGCCTGTAACTTTGACACTTTTCTTGCAGAGGCCCATAGGTGGGAGCAACGCTTTGCTGAAGATTTTCGTTTCTTGCACATTGCCACGCACAACCATGAGTGCAGTGTAACATGCCTGAAACACGTCAAAAAAACAGCGCAAGAAAAAAGGCAGCTCTTGAAGCCCAGCCGTGCGCCCGACTGTCGGTTTTCGTTTTATCACACAGTTAAAATTTCTGGAAGAACATTCCGCCGTCGCGGGAAAATGCCAGTGTCAGAGACGAATATACTGGATTCTGTGGATCCTAACGAAAGTGGCTTAGTTCAAGTGCAACGGGCTCATCCATTTCGTTCCGCAACCTCAGACGTGACAATGGTTTCCTGCCGCTGCAATTGCGACTTCAAATTTCTAATCCGAGGGTTTGTAGTTGATGAAGATGACAATAAGATAACACTTGTTTGTGATGATAGCTGCCTTGGGCATGTCATGGGCATGAGCCGCGCTAGCATGCACAAACATGATTCGCGTGAGCTGCGCTTGTTTGCTCGTAATGTCATTGCTTTGCACGTCGCATCTTTCAATACTGACCACTACATCACAAAATACAGCACAAAACCCATGGAGGCAATGCAGTCGGCAGTGGCTCAATTTGCTGTTGGCATCAGAAGATTGGAGGAGGAAGAAAGCAAAGCTGAGGTTTGGACACCCCAATACCGTGCCAAGCGGGTGATTGTCAGGCTTGCGGCGGCTGCGAACCGCAGCACCTGGGTATCTTCGACAGAGTTGGCGACCACCATTCTGTGCGCAGCTCACTGCTGGGCTACTCATGCTGAAGTTGTCCTCTTTCTTTCAAGACCTTGGTTTTTGATGCAACAATGCCGGCGTCTCTTAGAAAATACACCGAGCCCTCTTCTGCACGACAACTTCGTCCCCATTGCTGCAGTTGAATTGAATGCTTCAGACTCTGAAGACGGAGCTAGCTTGGCTGAGGACTCTGCAAAAGAAGATCCTGAAGAAACGGCTGTCGAGGATGAAGAACAGCAGGACGCGGAAAAAGACCGCAACCAACATTGGGACAAAACTGTATTACGCACCACCACAACATTGCATGACGACTATCTTCACCGAGGGCCATGGCTGGCTCCAATGCCCCTGTTTGTCTATGCTTCTCGAGTACGTCGTGTTCGCAAACCTCTGAAGCCCAAAGATCATGAAATCATGTTTGAATTTGACCCGCACTACCAAATGCACGCGTTGTATTGCCAATGTTTTGCTTTGCAGATCACCGTACCCCGAATTGTCGGCCCGAAGCCGCCATCGTTGGATGATGCAGAAGCTAATGCCGCATATTTTTCGATGTTGTTTTTGCCTATGAAGTGCCAGGGCCTTACCTGCTGCACAGACCCCCTAAACTGCCGCCCTGCTCTCACATGCGTAAAAATCGGCAAACAAAAATTTTCCTTCGTTGCAAACTGGAAGGCTAGAAGAGCTGCGATAAACTTGGTAGCAAATCGAGCCCAACAAAAAATAGCATCCGCCGAGAAAATCGCCGTACTTTTCGACACCACTGTTGCCAAAAGCTGGTGGAACGCAAGCTGGTGGATTGCAAGCCTCCCTGGAGGAGCGGATGACAGGCATGCCCAGTTGTTGCGCGCAACTTTGATGCAACTTTGCCGCACTTCTTTTTCGGAATTCCCGGGCTACGTGTTCCAAAACATGTGCGACATTTTGGGAGTGCAATCTGGAGCACATGTGCATCAACTGACGCTGGAAGAGTTTGCCGCAATCGAAAGCCAGCAAAACTACCAGAACTTTCTGTCACAGCAAATCGCACAAACCAAGCCTCTACGAAGCGCGCGCACAAAAAGTGGTCCGGTGCACGAGCAAGTGTCTGAAAGTGACGGCCAGCATTCTCCTGACCAAGGGCAAAATCCAGCGTTCGACGGAGAGGCCCCACCAGATGACGAAGATAGCTTCGATGAGGAGTTGCATTCGCAAACCAAAGTGTCTTTCACCTTGAGTGACTGCATACAAATTCTTTCACGTGAGCAGGAACTTGAACGAACAAAAAAACCTGGGAAGCACAGAGAAGGAGATCTTCACATCAAACAATTTGCAGATATCTACAAACATATGATGGTAGGACCTCCTGCTGATAGCAGCGAACTTCGACACAGAATACCCATTTTACCAACGCACTGCCTGCCACAAAACGCGAAATCGCACCAGGCAGCTGTAGCAAAACTTCTCCGCAAAGAAATGCTTCAGTCCGATGCCACGACAAGTTGCCCAGCATCGGAGAACCTTACGCCTGAAATGGCTGTGCAACAGCTGGAAGAGCTTTTTGACAGGAACGCCAACCGCGACGAGGCACAAGTCACAGAAATTGACGTTCCTTTAGCGTGGAAAGGTCCTGCAGCGTATGCCAAATCTCTCATTGATAAGTTTCCTTTCAACCAGGAGCAGCTGGACTTGTTGGCCCTTCTAGTGAATCCACTTGAAGTTGCGTGGCGAAACCGAGAAGATACATCTGTGTACACCTTGCCGGTCGACCTAGGTCTGGTTCGTGTTCTCCTTGTCGGCGGCGGGGGCTGTGGAAAAACCACTGTAATTGTCCAGGTCTTAGAACCGTTGCTGAATGTTTATTTTGGGGCTCACAATGTGCAGCTCGCGGCTCCCTCCAACAAGGCTGCCAGAATTATCGGCGGTAAGACAATACATAACCTAATTGGTGTCCGTGCCAACGATAGCTTAAAGTCTTACCACTTGTGTGTCCGACGGCGTGCAGACAGAAAAAAACTTCAAAACACCCTGGGGCGGGCGGGGGCTGTGATCATAGACGAGTGGTCACAGGTTCCAACAACTTTATTTCACGCTGCTTCCTTGCGGGCCACATCGATCCGAGCTGATCAATTCCAATTAGATTTGGCACGGTACGCGCAGCCGACACAGCTCTTTGGCCGTGTCTCGTTCATGCTTCTCTCAGGCGATCATTTACAACTTCCACCTGTCCCAAAAACTTCTTCATTACTTGCGACGCCAGATGTTGGAGGACATGAACACAAAGCTGCTTTGGCTATGTTCGCGCGAATCCCACAAGTCTTTGTCCTTCAAACAGCAATGAGATTTGAGGACGAAATCCAAAAAAACATTTTGCGCAAAATGCGGGTGCCCGGCGGTGAGCGCCTGACAGATCAAGAGTGGAGCCACTTGTCGGAGACTAGGCTAGAAGACAAAGCTGCTTTCCAGTCCCCAGAAGCTTTGGTGCAAGCCACCGGCGACTGGTATGAGAGTTGTTACCTGTGGTCTATCACTACCTTGATTGCCTTTATTAAAGCACGGCACTCGGCCCGCGAAGCCAATCAAACTCTATTTTTCGTTCCTGCAGCAGATTGGCCTGACCAAGCCTGTGAGCCCCATCATCTCAAGCATTTGCTTGGTGTTTCGAACCTGTCCACCACAAAAAAACTGCCAGGCGTAAACTTATTGCACTTTGGGCAAAAAGTACGGCTGACTACATCGGTTTTACCCCCCTGGGCTGTTCAGGATACCGTTGCAACAATTGTCGACATTGCTTTTGCTGAGCGCCTCCCAGCAAAATTACCCCCAGAATACTATTTAAAAAAACGCCCAACCGCAGTTTATGTAAAACTCGAAGGAGTGGATTTGGAATTCTTGCCGCCCAAACCTTGCGGGGAGCATTTGATTTTCAACCGACACTGCGACCAGTGTGTGTCATATCCTGGAGTCATTCAAGTGCTTTCAAAAACGCAAACGTGGTCTTACACCTTGCCAGACGAGAAAATTTCATTGAAGATCAAGCGGACGGCATTCCCACTCTGGCCAGAGAAGGCCTGCAGCCTATACACGATGCAAGGAACGACAGCGTCCCCCGGATTAGTGGCGCACATGACTTTGCCTGCCAGATCACCGGCAGACATCAAATTCTTGGCTGTCTACGTGATGCTTTCACGCCCTCGCTCCTTCAAGAACTTGTTGACGCTGGGGCTCAACGACAAAATCCGAAACATCATCGAAAGCGGACCTCCTGAAGAACTCTTGGAAACCTTCGCAACCTTGTTTGGATCCAAAGCTGACGAGACACGCGAAGCAGCCCGGGAGGCGGCTGAACATTTGGGGTGGCAAGCTGGAGGCTGATTGAGGTTTCTTAAAAAAACTCCTTTCTCACAAGCTTCAGCTATGTGCCTTTTGAACGTTCGCAAACGTGCTTGTGGTATTCGCACGGACAAAGGAGAAACATCCATGCCATGAAGGTGCCAGACTTTTGACTTCGAGAGCGCCAGAGCGGTGAAAAAGTAGCGCTCAAAGGCCTTGCTCTTGGGGAGAATGCTTCCAACGTTTCGTTGTAACGTACCAAAACTGTCAGATTCGTGTGAAATACCGTAGAAACGTGACGTTTTGAAGTGTGAGGGAGTGTCACAGGTGATTTCGCTGCGCACCTGCCCATTTTGGGGGGTTGGCGTTCTTCCAAGAGTGTGAGACACCCGTCTCGGTCAAGAGTGTCAAGGAGAATGGCTTCTTCTAAGAGTATCAAAAGAGTCTCAAAAGTTTCCTCATAATGTCTTGTAAATCAGAGTGTCCTCAAAGAGAGAGTGTCTTCTATGTCTTACCAGAGTGTCTTTCAAGAGCGTCTCTTCCGGAAACGAAAAAAGTGCGAGTCTAGTCGACCTGAACCTGGGGATATGACCAGCGCTGGCTACCTTGCAACACACTTGCCCCAAAGTTTTCAAATTAGCAGAACAGGTGGGTAGAGCTTCAGGCTCCTCACCTCCGTTTCACCTTCTCACCCTGTACACCAGCGTTGCGCGTGGACAGAGAAAAAAGCAAAAACTAGACAAGGTTTACCATGGATCCAGAGGCGGAATCTTCGAAGAATACATGGACAAGGTGATCAAAATGAGGGCGCAGTGCCATTTTGAGACGTCGAGGAAAATGCAGGAAACTCTTGGGGAACGCGCCCCTGTGCAAAACCTGTGTTTGGTTTTGGCAAGGGGGCGCGCAAATGTTTTTGAGGTGTGAATACATGGCTCAAGCATGGCGTGGCCGCACAGCGTTCAAGGATATAGAGCTGAAATGCTCGCCAATTTCTACGTAAAAACATTATCCAGAAGAGCGCCAGACAATGGACCCAGAATCCAGACCAGGAGCTGGCCTCAATCTTCTTTTTATGCTTTTCCCAAAAGCATCTTCGACGCTTGGGTTCTCGTTTAGTCGCTAGTGCCGCGGAAGAGCGAGACAAAGCGTGCGTTGTCGGCGACGGAAGATGGATGTGGAGGAGGACGGGGCCGGGGAGGGAAGATGGAGGGGAGCGAGACGGGAAGTGCATGGGTGGGGACGGGGCTGGGGAGGGAAGATGGAGGGGAGCGAGACGGGAGGCGCACGGGGCTGGGGACGGAAGATGGAGGGGAGCGAGACGGGAGGTGCATGGGCGGGGACGGGGCTGGGGAGGGAAGATGGAGGGGAGCAAGACGGGGGGCTGGCAGAGAAGATGGCGCATGGGACGGGGCTGGGGAGGGAAGATGGGTGCACAAGTAGAACGAAGCATGGGTGGGGGTAGTGCTGCTCCATGCTTCGCGGAAGCCTGTTGGGAGGTGAGTGGAGCTGCGTTGCGGGGCTGATACGATGGTGTTGGGTGTCCAAAATGTGCACAATGCACGCGCCAGATAGTCAAGTCATGGCCAACTCGGCAGGATTGTTGCGTGCCAAAAGCGCAACGCATAAAATTGGATGGTTGGAACGAACCATGGAGGGGGCTGATGCTGCTCCATGCTTCCTGGAACGGTTGTCAGAAGCCATGTTCCAATCGTTTTATGACCGTTTTGGAGGGCTTTCAAAACTGACCAAGGGGCGGACGGGGGTGTATATGGCAGACAATAAATTCAACGAACTCAACGAATTCAGCGAAGCAGGACTGCACTGCATCCCTTGAATTGATTTGCGGACTTCATTCGCGAAGTGCCGCAAGAAACCTGTGCCATTTGCGATTTTGCCAGGACCCCGCAGGGGATCCTTAGATTTGGCTGTAAGGCTGTGCGATTCAAACCGCCGTGCGATTTAAGAGAGAAGAAGCGCTTTGACGATCCTGTTGCGGAGAGGTAACGCCCGACAACCCCAGAAAAAGTTAGGATTCTTTCAAGATGGCGGGGGAGTTTCCTTGAAGAACCCTTCGCATTGATTTGGTTCGACTTTTGTTGAAACGATATCAACTTATATACACATCAATTTACCAAGCAGCTTGCGCATGGTCATGGGGACTACTCAAACTGCAGGCATGCAAGACTTGGCGAGAGCACGAAGGTGAGTGCCTTCATCCTTCAAGTACTTCATTTGCATTTGTGTTTTGTACTTGGAATGTGAATTAGAATCGCTGGAATTTATTCCTTGTGATTTCTGAGTGCAATTCCTCTCAAAGTCATGTGTCATCAGGTGAGCCGAACACTATTTGCCGACGAACTTGCAGGCCGAGCGACGAGAGAGAGAGAGAGAGTCGAGTAGTCGCTTGCAAGAGCACTTCTTCCGTATGCACAGTGCCAGCACGTGTCAGTGAATTGAGAGTGTTTGAGGTGATACGGGCTGAGACAGATGCTATGCCAGGTACCCATGAAAGCTTGAGTCTTGAGACAAACGCGAGAGTCTTGAGACAAATGAGCCACGCCGATAAACCTATCAGTTCTAAATCTGAAAGCAGCGCAACAGAGTAATTCTGATGTATGCGCTGTGCGCTTGCTTCTGATTTTGCTAGGCCGAATGTACTGTAGATTATTTATTTTATGACTTTTTGATATTGTACTTGCTGGCTCAAACTCAGTTTGGATGCTTGCTCAGACTTCAAGAGCCTCTTCGGCGGGATTGGGGTTTGCAAAAAGTACTCGTGTCAGGAAGCAGTGGAGCTGAGTGGAGCTGAGAGCGAGTTTGCTGCAATCAGCGGCACTGCGGCGCATGAGTTGCATACAGCCAACACTTCCACAACAAAGTGCCGACATGCAAAAAAATCATGTTTGTCACGGATGTTGCTATGGCAATGTCAATTCTAGTGCCCGGTCGACGTCGAGAGTTTTTTAATCAGGTTTGATCTGTCTCCTGCTGGTTGCCAGCATCAGACAGGGTTCCCATTCACGTGGCCCCCACCTAGGGTATGCCAAGCACTTGGGTTTGCCAGGCAGTGGGTGGGTCACACAATGGGTGTGCCATATTGGGGAAGTGGCCGCGAGATGCAAAAAGGAGCTTATATGTGTATTTTGACAATGACGCAAAGTTATCAACGAATTCAACGAATTCTGTCTGTTTTTAATCAACGAATTCAACGGACAATAAATGCGAAAAACTGTTTGGGGTCTACGCTGGTGTAATAGAGATTTCATTAGCGATTCACAGAGATTCCATCAACATCCATCAACAAGCTTCCCGTCCCAAAAAGATCCCAAAAAGATCCAAAGTTCCACTCCTTCCGGGCTAGGCATTCCTGTGACTGGCGTAGCAACTGGGGTCTGCTTCAAAAGAGCAGGTGTACATGGTGTGTTTTCTGAATTCTTTGCTTTCTTCGTTGGACGAGGTGTACGAGGTGTGCTTGCTGGCTGCTTGCTTTGCTTCTTAGTAGGATCTGATGTGGGAGGTTTGGGCTGCTCTGACTGCTCAATCTTCACTCTGTGCTCCGTTTTGAAAAGGCTGGGCAGCTTTGTCTTCACTGGCCCAGGCTTTGGAGTTGCTGCTGGTTCAGGATGCCGTGTCTGCTGCGTCATGGGCACGGGCTTTGGAGTTGCTGGTTCATGCTGCTCTGTCGGCTCTGTCTTCACTGGCACGGGCTTTGGAATGGCTGGGGCTCCCACCTCCAAATAGTTTCTTAATGATTGGTGTATACAAAGGTGGACCAACATGGACAAACAACGAATTCTGTAACATTCTGTAACATATACGTAGTATAGTTGTTTGTGGATGACCATAATTATATATAGAATTGGGATCCCTGACTTGCCAATTTCAATGGTTACCTCACTATAGAATCAGACTTCATTAGATTGAAAAGATCTAATGTACACCTCATGTACCCTCTATAGAATCGAGGCTTGAAATGACCTAATTCTCTATAAAATCAAACTGTCTGACATACCAAATCTAACATAGCCCCAACATATTTGGCTAAAATTATTGATTTTCATGTAGGTACCCTCATCGATTTTGTAGAGGTTATTCCCAGGGGTATACTTAATGCTGCTGCTGGTCTGTCCCCTGCTTCGACCCACTCACACACCGAGTCTCCAGCAGCAACTCCCCTACACGGATCTCCGTGGTGGCCACGCAGCCCCGTTGCCCATCCCGATCGCTGTCCGTGAGGCCCACTGCCTGACCCGTGAGGCTGATCGGTGCCACCGGTGTGGATCGGTCTTTTGGAGGCTTCTTTAGTGGTTGTCTTTTGGAGGTCAGAAGGTCCTTACCAGGGGAAATGATGTCTGGATATACGTCTGGTTATCAACTCAAAACTTGCTTTGGTGTTGCAAGCTAGTGGCGGAAGCACTCGATGGCAAATAAAACAAAAGAGTGGGTGGTTTTCGCAGATTAGACTCAAGAGACTGGATATGACTGGATTCATTGAAATAGTGCCAATGCCATCTACTCCAAACCTCACTACTGCAACTGTTTAAGGCGTTGAACAAACGTTGATGAACTTGCCAGGTGATGGGGTTGGGAGGATGTTAACTGGCATCAGGTCATGCAACTCCAAAACAAATACTCTTCCATCCTACGGCCACGCCCTGGTCCCAAACTTTCAACACTGAAATCTGTCCAACTGCGTTTCCCCTTGTCGTTCCCCTCTGCCAGGCCACGGCGAGTCCCCCACGGCGAGTCTGCCCGGCGAGTCTGCGGCCCATGGTGCCTTGTTGATGTACGCGCCCCGACTTCGCAACCACTCCGCCAGCTCCTCGAAGGCCTCCTGCTCGCCCGCGGGGGGGCCGCCCTGCTCCGCCAGGCGGCGGGTGGCCTGCGGTCGGAACGGAACTTGCGCCACGAAGACAGCACAGTCACAAGTGTTGACTTGAACGCTACAAAAACATCAAGCCTGTCTCTTGCACGAGGAAAACAGGACTGTCAGAAATCATGAGGCACAGACATCATGACTTCAGCCTCGTGTAAACTAGTTGACTAACTCTAGTGACTGGTCTCCCAAATAAAAAACAAATGTCTTCCCAACCTTTCCATCGATGATTGTTTTGTACTTGGTGACGAGGCACCGGCAACCGTGACGTCAGCTGCGTCTTCCGCCGCGCGCGGAGACTATGCAGACCAGCTGGAAGAAAACCACTGGCACAAAGGATCCTACAGTTACAAGGAGGTGGGAATCCTACATCTCCGAATATCCAACATCTGGGAATCCCAACATGACTCTTATCCAGACCAGGACATGTTGGGGAAATGTTGAGGACTTTATGGTCCCCAATCCGTCCGATCCTTCCCCTGGCACATGCCGTGCGGAAACAGCGTGCTCCGGACCCCTTGGCACACCGCCCGAATCGTCCGAACAGCCGCCCGCCGCTGTGTACAGGAAGGACATGTTGGATTGGGGATGATTGGGGAGATGTTTCTTCATCACAAACATCCTGATCCTGGGCACAGCGGTACGTTAGATTCTTCTGTATGACATGCAAAAGGCCCGGTTCACTGCAATGACTAAACGTATCCCTCCACAACGATATAACGTGTCAGCCCTCTGGAGAAAGTCATTGGTCATGACCAAAAGACTCCTCATCTTCACTTTTTCGCCAAGGCTCCGCCAGCCTGGGCCATCCAAGACTCCACGCCGCCCCAAGACGGCACGAGGCGGCACGTGCGCTGGGCGCACGGGGCCTCCATGAGCTTTGGAACATGGCGTCAGATAGGAATGACTCTGAAAGGCCAGAGCCATGGCGTGGGGAATCTTCTGCCAGCGTAGGCAGTGCCTAGTCAGTGGCCTCGGCAGGGCGTGTGCCTCTTTTTGGGGTGATGCCGGGCCAAACGGGATGAGTGGCATGCGGCAAATACACTGTTCACTGATGGTCGCTGGTCTTGAGAACATCTTTGGTGAGTAGCTGGGCAATGAGCATGATATTAATGATATTATTTCTATGTCAGTACTGCATGTTCTGCATTGAACATAGTCTGCTTTGGACACCTGGACACCTCAAAATTGGCCACCACGTGTCTGGTCAATCTATCTGAATGCCAGGTAAAATTATGCATGTAAAGCATGCTTGCGAAGCTTTGCCACGGGCGCACACCGATCCAAGTACGAGTACTGTTTCACTCAAATTCCCTAGTCTGCAACAAAGCAAGTCGAACAATCAGCCATTCTTGGTGGCCATGTCTGCTTTTCTCACAACCGTCTCTTTCAATCAATGGCCCATGTCACATGGATATTGATGCTTGAGGGCCTGAATGCAGATTTGTTCAGACTAAATGATATCCAAATTTGTCGATGACAATGACAAGTGACAACATTCTTGTGCCACGTGAAAGCATTCCACCCAGATCAAAATTCAATTCTTGATTCTATTCTATGAGCAGCTTGACCAAGTGCAGAGGTCATGATATCACGTCGCCTGACAAACCTATTACTATATAATAGACTAGACTAACTTCAAATTACATTTAATTTCGAAACGTCCCAATAGAATTATATAGTGAGGACCCGTCTCCGCTTCGGCCCCTGCCTGCACCCAAGGTGGCCTCGCAATACGCCCCAGGATCGGAGGGGAAAGTGTGTGACTTTACTGATCTGAAAACCAATGGCTCCATAAGTGCAGAACTGGCTTCCTGCAGGTTTTAGATGGTCCCACTTTCTCCTTCTTGTTGCCGTATGTGATATCACGGTATGTGAAAGGACACTTCGAGAGACAATTTCAACGAAATCCCATCAAGGATTCGATTGCACACCAGAATACAAACCGGTGCGTCTGTGCCAACGTGCACGTGCCCCGTCCGGAGATTCGGAGTCGCAGAGACGAAGAGATCGGAACTCCGCTAGGAACGGCTCCCTGATGAATCCGGATACAAGGAGCCACAGCTCCCTCCTGAAGAAGCCCTGTAGCTCCTTGTACTGAACATGATGGAATCTGGATACAACCGGCCCCTTAGCTCCCTCCTGAGCACCAGCTAGACAGGATATTGGAGAGTCAGTTGTGTGCACCTACCAAGTAGGAGTTTTTCTTCATGTGGCCGGCGCATGGCGGTCACATGGCCTGGGACGTTTATCGCCACTGCGAACCCCTGGTTGGCAACATCTGCAGGAAACCCATGGTCTGACAGCGCTCTCTAGTATTCTGGACGTTTAAAAAGGAGGATCATGAAGGCATCATAGATGTCCCACTCTCGCTGTATGGGATACGTGTGGATCCCTAAATTGAGCCCTTAAAAAAACCCTAGGATCATCTAGGATCCAAAGAAATTTGACCGTGGTTCTGGGATGTGATGTGAGCGTGCGCCTTCCCATGTCCCATTGCATCGACTTGAAAGAAACAACTTCGTCAGTGGATGCCGCGTTGAGGCTTAGACTCCTGTGATCAGCGGCGCATCCTCATCCTGAAATCAGGTTCTGCACTGTCGGTTTATCACGGAACGCAAACAGCACTGCCATTCATTCGGCCATTATTTTGACACTTTGGGTGCGAGGCGACACAGGGTATAAGGCAACTACATGGCTACAGTCCCCTGCTTGAGAAGCTCACAATTCTGCTGATGATTTTGGGTGATGCAAACATCACCTGGCGACTTCTCTGAGTTAAGCAAGCTAACTTATGGCTACAAATGAATCACTTCAGAATCATCCAAAAAGACCTGAAATCATCTCCGGATCCACTGGAAACGTCCAATCATGTCCAATCTAATATACTAAACTAGAACCATTCTAGAACCCACTGAAACCAACTATATATCCATCCAACATCCCGGATGTGTGCAGGGCCCCTCCTGGCGCTCGGCGTCTGGTTTCGGGGACTCCACGTGGAAGGTGGGAACATCGGTGGGCGATAAGACCGGCGAAGGGTCCTGGCGCATGGGTCATCATGCGTCATGGCGCGCGGGTCACGGCAGCGCAAAACCCCGATGATTTGCAAGGATTTTGGGTCTTGGAGTCTTGGAGGAAATCAAGCTCCAAAAGAACACTGAATTTGTTTTCTTCTGCCAGTTGGCATAGACAGTCAGGTGGATTCGTCTCGTTCCACACCTGTCTCCACTTCAGAAAGTCGGTTGGTGCATGTGGATACCATCTCTGCCATCAGTCAATTGGTAGATGCCTCCAGAAGTGCCTAATCCCGAGTACCTATTAATAAACACTCCCCAATTAAAAAAACCCCACGTCCGAACCCCTAAATTCGGTTTATATTTGGTTTTAAATTGCCGCCCTTTCAAACCGCTACTAAACTACCAACATGGTCGATTTTGGGGTAGTTTTTTTATTAGGTTCCCCAAAAACAACCGTAACTGCCCACCTCTGTCCGCCCTTTCTATCCACCATGACACGCCGCGCTTACACCAGCAGGCTTTCCTTCCCCCAATGGCACGGACTCACGCAAACGCACTTGCCACCGAGGTCATGCAACACCGCATGGCACAGCGACATCACCTTTCGAAAGCTTTAGCTGTTAGTCTACTGAAGAATAACTATTCTAATGAAGGTTTTTGTAGGGGAAAAGGAAGACCCTTCGATCTGGAGCTTTTTTGCATTTTTGATACGAGTTTAATAAAGGATTTTATATAAAACTTTACGGATTTACTTTTTGGTTTTGAAGCTCTTCCCAGGTGACCCTTTTTTGGACCCCCCGATTTCAGGGACCCCCTATTAAAAAAAATGCGACCGAGGTTTTTTTAATAGGGGGGGGGGGGCCGTGTTTATTATTAGGGGGACGGGATTAGTCAACTGCCTAGTCATAGTCTCAAAAACAAATTGGGATGAGAACGAGCTGAGTCCATGGAAACTGGAGGTGTGGCTCATCCAAAGTTCTTTGCAAATCGATACATCAAGAGGTGGAAGCCATTGATGGGATTCTTTCATCCGATGGCAACACTTCAAACTTCAAAAGTCCGACAATGTCAGTGCATGAAGTCCCAGAACACACGATGGACTCTGGCCGAAACAGTCTTGATCCACGAGCAATAATCATGAAAACAACCACAACCATTTCCACTAAGCAGGGGGTTCAACATCGATGCACCATTGCACCCACTGCAACGATCTGGAACCAATCCCTCTGAAAGACTTCGGCGCCCGAAGAAATCCAAACACAAACAGCAACCGAACAAATCCAAACACGTCACGTCCCCCGACCTCCCCCTTCTTGACCGCTCTGGGCAAGAGATCTGCCAAGGGGGTCTCATCCTGCAATGCACAGACTGTGCACCAAAACCTCCTAACGAGCGTTTCATTGTAAACACCGATCGAAACGCATCTTTGGAGTTGGTGAGTTGGTATAGAGCACCAAAGAATATCTTTGTTAGCCCGCGGAACTCCTTGAAGAAGCGCTCGCACTAATGATTTGGTTCCTAGATTGTTTGGAAGATTGTCTCTGACTTGGTGGAGCAGCCACAAAATCCAACTGCACCTTTGCACCGAACTGTTGAGTTTGTCTGGTAAGAACATTTTAGTCATTTAGAGATTGATATAGGTCGGACATGGGCAATTACTAGTACAGTAAGTCTTGAGATGTATTGAGTATGCCTCTGCTGTGAGCCCGCTGAAATCACACTGTGGATACTGTTGGTAGATGTTGGTACGTCTAGCGGAGACCCCACAACAAACGCTGAATGTCTTCGGTATACACTGGACCAACGAGAATTGGGGGACCCTTGTCGCGATAACCAAAACTAGCTGATCTCCAATGAAACATCTGCATGTCAGCTTCACTCCCTATCTTTCTCCCCCTGTCGAGGAATGAATTCAGCATCCAACCACCGTCCTGTTCCGAGCGATGTTGACTTTTTCTACGACGTTTGGCGTCGCCAAACGAACTTGGAGACTTGGAACGAACAACGTGAGACGTGTCGGAGATTGGGGTCGGGTAGGATCAGGTCCGGGGTGCCTGATCCTACCAGGTGAGAACAACTCCGTGCCGAAGTGCAAGCACATCGGCTGGGCACCCTCTGATCTTTAGCTGATTGGGAGCTTGTCCCAACTTTCCGTGGATCACAAAAGGATCACCCACAACCAGCCTCCAACAAACATCGTGTTGGCATACATCACCCTCTACTCCCTCAACCAACAATTTGATCACCCTAGCCCCAACCTATATATACCTATATAGCCTTCTGGCCTTCTGGAAAAAGCATACTCTTTTGGTCCTTCTTTCATCAACCATGCAGCAAAGTCACCCTCCTGGATAACCTTCAGAACCTCGAACCTGCGATCTTTTGTCAACCTACCTCCTACATCGTCCTACATTGTTTAGCTCTCACTGGCGTTGCCCAGGGCCTGCATCACCTGGTCGATGGCCTTGTCAAACTCCTCAGAGAGGCAATCGACCAAGACTTCGGATGGGGCAGAAGAGAAGAGTGGCTTCTCGAATTTCTCGTCTCTTTTGCAGCGGGTCTTGAAACCTTCAATCGTTTTGCTCTGACCGGTGTTGCACCCATCAAAGGGGTCAACCGATGCATATACAGTTCATCCTTTCAAGCGCACTGGTGAGCTTCGTTTTGAGGTTCGGAGGTTCGGGGCTTGATGAGGCGCAGGGTTCGGAATGCGAACGCGCAGGGTGTGCGTGTGACGTTGCTTTCGTGTCTGCAACCGATTGAACAGCGATCGATATAGGGCAGCTGCCGTTGAGGGAAGCTTTTGGAGGTTTTGAATGGAAGCCTGAAGTGTCGGATTCGTTTGAAATAGTGTGGAAATGTGTGGAAACTGTGGAAACGTAACGTGCTGAAGCTTCGAAGTGTGGAGGATGATTTTGCCACGCAGGTGCAGCATTTCGTGAGATTCTCAGTTTTGTTCGCTGTGCCATTGGGATTGGCTTTTCAGGCCCTTGCTTCGAAGCTGCGTTTTCTGACTTTGTTTGAGGCGACGGCGAGTGTGCTCCGAAAGTGTTGCAGTGCAAATTTGCTGAAGAGATGTGATGCTGTAATACCTCAGCAACATTTTGTGGCAGGCGCAGCCCTTTGTGCGCGTTGGAGGTCGTGGAAGTTGAATTTCGTGGCAGGCACAGGATCCCACAAGTGTGTCATACAACAGTGTTCCACAAGAGTGTCAAGCAATATTTGATATAAAAGCTTTTAAAACACATGATTCAATGGCGACCACCACCATCCACTACTCCCATCGCCTATCAAGTCTCCTAGTCAGTGCAGAACAGTCAGTGTCTTCAGAGTTCCCAGCGTACGTATATACCCACGCCGTTCAGTGCTTTCTTCGAACATCATAACCGTGAATCATTTCTCGAATTGATGTCAAATCTGTGCACATTGCGAACTCTAATCTCTGGCTGCAACTCCAAGTCTTTCAGCAAACCATCCCGGATCTCTGAGATCCCGTGCCTCATCGATCAGCTCATCCTGCGAAAATTCACTGCAACCATCCCAAACAAGATCCGAAAGCTGTGCAAGAACAAACATGCAAATCAACACCTACCTCCAACTTGAAATTTCCACACACACCTAAAAGCACCAAATAATTGATAATTACACAGACTCTGCAGTCCTCATTTCTATGAGAAGCAGGAAAGAATTCTGGAAGAGCGTCCTGCAAAGGCCGAAGATTCACTAGCGATGCTCGCTGGGCACATCATCTATCAGGATTTTTCACGGATCTATGCGCTAGGCGCATCACGGATGCCCAAAGCAAGCTGGATGTATGTCTATCCATCTGGCGCACCTCTTCCACAACTTCTTCTTCGACCTCTTCTGCCGGTGAGCGCTTTTTAGAGCTCGCCTGCCAGGCATAAAAGTGATTAAAAGTGTATCGGATTGATTCCCACAAAAACAACAACCACAACAACCATAAACCATATATCTCCATATATCTCCGTAGTTTGTATGGTTCCTCTATGTTCCTCTTGGCTCCTGAATTTCTGACGACCATTTGCTGCATTGGCAGCGGGGGATCCACATTCTCCCACACATGCTCCCACAAACTGCCCCAGCTGGCTCAAAAGGCTCTGCTTTGGCTTCTTGCTACGAACGTAACAAAGGGCATCGCTACGAGTCCAGAGCGATCGGACGCGAACCGAAGTAGGGGCGCTCCTGGCCTAGCCTTACGAGCCGGAGCAAGGACAGACGCTACGCACGTGTCACAAAGGGCATCGCATGTCACACAGCGACCTTCGCACCTCTTCGACTTCCTCTTCGACCTCGCGGGAGCGCTTCTTGGAGCTCTCCTGCCAGGAGAGCGGAAACGAAGAGAAGAGAACGTGGAGGTCCACGAAGAACGTGCAGTCCAGCCGGTTCAAGAAATATGGACTTGGATGTGCTTAAGGAACCTGGAACAAATCAAACATCTATATTCCCCAGAAGGGGATTTACCATACCCATAAGCCAAACCCGTGCAAAATGGGTCCCATGGAGTCCCATGTGCTGATGACAACTTCCATGTTGGCATGGACCCACATGATCAAGACCACCACACTGGCAAGTGGCTGAGAATGATTCGAACAAGAATCATGTCCCTCTGAGTGAGCTCATTGGCCTATTAGTCCTATTAGTGCAATGAATGTCAATAGATTTTATTGTAATTAATGTGTAAAAATAATCCCCCCTCTACTCATGAAAGCCATGTCACCTGTTTCCGCAGTTCCATCTCTGATGCATGGCACGATCGAGGTTCAGGGCATCGCATGCCACGAACACCGAGACGTGACACACCGAGACGTGGCTTCCGAGTTTTCCGACGGATAGCCACAACGTCGGCGGTGCAGGTGACCTTGACGAAGAGCTGGGGAAACCAGCAGAACAAGGTGAGCCACTGTGGGCTATTCAGCACTTTAGGTGATGGACTTAAACCCGCCAACCGATGTAAGGGTATCCTATTGGATCCTAATATGATCCTATTGGTGTCCCCTTTTGATCCAACGTAGAGATCCTCTTGTCTCCGTCAATTCTGACTGTCCACTTGTCTGATCTTGTCTGATGTGCTCTTCTCCACTCCTTGGCCTTTGCTTTGGCTTTGGCCTTCCTCCTTGGAGTGCCGGAGCCACGCTGAGCCACGTGTGGCTTGGGCTTTGGAACTTGAGAAAACACGGCTCTAAAAAAAAAGGTATCCCAAACATTCCAAGGAACCAATCCTGTAAAGCCTATGACTAGTCTTGGGGGGATTGGTGAGTCCTGGCCCTAGTTGTTCTATCCACCATCTGAACGATATGCTCGACAAAGGTCCGGTCGAACAATCAGCAGTACACATTGAAGGTTGCCAAACCAAAAAGCTTCTAAAGACATGACCCTTCCCACCTCAGGTTGGCCTCATAAGCCGCGGAGAAAGCCACTGGTCGCTCTTCTCCCGGGGGGGTGTGCCCTAGGCTTTCCAAAGGGTTGTGTGCCCTCTCCTGAACGAACCGACATGGAAACTGCCATGTTTTTGGATATGTCTTTGTCCTCTGGAGGTGGTCTGTCAATCAGGAACCAAATCTGCAACTGCCCGGGCAATATGCAAAAATGTTTTCTCAATGGTTTCTTCCTCTGTGCAAACAAGCTGCTTGGGAATCTTCTTCGGGGCCATGGCTAAGGCATAGCATTCATGCGATTCCAATGGGTGATTCTGCCTTGACGCTTGGTTGTAGTGTCATGCTTGGTGTTATTCCTGGGGATATCGCCCCACCCAGCAACACAACACAGTCAATCGTTAATAAAAGAACCATGTCAAGAAGCAACCCAATAGTCAATCATGAAGGTTCATCAGAGCCCGCAGGCTGTCTAGATGCCGGAGTAATATAGAAAACGATGAATTCAATAAAGCAATACGGTTATTATATGATTATTGTATTTAATAATCACTATTATAGTTCTGCATCGTTTCACAACCGATCTGTCTTTCTCTTGGATCACATGTAAAGCCCAAAACGCACAACACATGACGATGCCACGCGGACAGTGTCTGCCTAAAGGAGTTTGAATGTGGCGAACATTAACTCCATCTGCATGGTTGTTTGTTTTGAGGTGAGACACCGCCACTATTGATTACTAACATTACATTGGTTCAAAGGTGTCAAAGCAGCTCTGCCATTAACTGCTATGGACACAACAGTGCATCGGCATCACTCAATGGATTCTTTTTGTGCAACACGTCAAACTCTGGATGCCATTTGCTTCCCAAAAGGTGGTCCTTTCCTCGTAACTTCACTTCAAGGTCCGCCCTGGGACCTTCCCCACACCCCGCACTTCCGCGCACAACCGCCAACCCACCCACCACTTCGCCCTCGGGGGGGTGGAGTGGTCACCGGATCGAGCAAATGCAATGATGGAGGCGCTGGAGGCTTCTGGGCCTCCAGAAGACGAAGAAACGGCGGCGAAGCGTCGGCTCGCAGCCGAGGTCAGTGGCGCAGGGAGTTGGGAGACCCACTCCTGGTACCCCGTGTTGATGATATTCAAATGATCTGAATATATCTTGATCATGGTGATTTACATGAGGTGCTGCACTACAACATGTTCGCACCCAATGACTCCCTGTCATTCTGCCACAATGTCCAACAAATGGAAATTAGGTGCTGGGAACAGAACTCCGAGCTTTGTCTGGAACATCACGCTCCTGGGGTTCTGTCTTTCTTTGACCTGAATCCTACATACAGCGGCATGTGGGCCCTCATGTTCATCACAGGGACATGTCAGGCAAGAGATCATCAAGACCTTTGGCCTGAAAACAACTTATCTTCGCATCATGCCTGTTTGTGCTGCCTTCGCATCCTTCTGCCCCTAAGGCCCTAATGACAGAAGTGTGAGGGAAGTCCTTTGAAGCTGCTCAAAATCATAAGTAGATGTATATCCTATCGAGACTGGAGGGCAGTTCTTTAAGCCTCATGAGCTTCACTCACTTTGGTACGAGAGGATGGCTCCGGATGGCGGCTGAGTGATTTGTCTAGCGCCGAAGACTTGTTTTTTTTGAATGGCACAGGCTTTCCACAGCCCATGTGCTACCCAATCCACCTCAAGGTCCCTAATGATCTATAATCTATATAACTATATATATCGCTCAAAGTGGCAATCACAGAGAGGAGCCCACTGGAAGCACCTTCTTGGGTGACGTTTTGTCCCTATTTGAAATTCTTGGCAGTAATTAGCAGGGATTCGTGACGCCTTCAAGGAGTTCAACCAATCCCAAAACCATCAACCTCGATGCAACAACTTGATTCCCGATGCTGAATCATGCAAGGACGACTTCCACCCAACGTCTTCTGCGATCTTCATCCTCAGCAGGTGGCCATGTTCACTCAGCTAAACCATGCTAAAACCCTTCTGTATGTGTGGAATTACGGGATAGGTCCGGAAGGGATGGTCTATATAATAGAAGGTCTGTCTGGACACATTCCACGACCTCCAAGCTATGAGAGAGAGAGAGAGACATCCACGTCAGTGAGATCCAATGAAGCGCCACAAAAGGCTGCAAAGAAGGAGGAGGAGAAGAAGAAGGAGAAGAGAAGAAGAAGAAGAAGAAGAAAAAGAAGAGAAGAAGAAGAAGAGAAGAAACAAAAAGAAGCAGAAGAGGAGAAGAAAAAGAAGAAAGAGACGAAGAAAGCATACTGGATAAACATCCAAGTTTAGAGCTTGGTTAGTTCACAAGTGTACGTGGGTGGCGTGTTGTTGACTCTGTTTGGATGGTGGATGCTACGTCCCGAAAAGGCATAAATAGTATGCCCCGGTTTGACTGTTTGAGTTTCCTCATTGCTTCAGGGACTCACATGCAAGGGAGCCGCAATTGTGTGCACTCGAGACGTGTCTCTTTTAGTGCAAATACAGGAACCCTTGTTACTAGTAATGGCCTCCAAGCTAATAGCGATGGCCTCCACCCTAGTAGCTTCTTGTTACTAGTAGCGATGCCCTTGTTCCTAGTAGCTTCTTGATCCTAGTAGTAAGGCCAGGAGCCCCTAGTAGCTTCTTGTTACTTATGGAGAAGGGAAACGAACGTCCATTGCCAACCCGATCCCGGGGATCCCTGCGCGCTTGGATTTCTGCAAGACCTGCACGTCCCGCTTTTTCCAGCACCGGTCATGGTACCCTGGGTCGACTCCGGGTTGACTCAAAACGTGGTGCCCAATACGGGCCTCCGAACTATGTCCCGTGGTGTATGTTGGCAACATGGGTGAGTACAGCCAATTTCAGCCATGGTAGTTTCCAGCCCGCCAGCCGGCCACGGCCACCCCACATTGCTGCCAGTTCACGAAGATTGTCGTTTATATAACCAACATAAAAATAAAAATAAAACACACACACACAGTAGAGGGGTGATGCAGCAGCTCACAGAAGGAGGCAATGTCAAGCCATTTCATGACAGTTCAAAGTAACTCTGAGTGATCCAAACTTGTGACAGTTGACTTGAACTGATGTTACTACAGCCAACAAGCTGGTTGAAACGACTACAAGTCCTGGTCGTTTTTTTTGGGCTTAGATGGTCCGCTCTACACTCCCTGAAGTGTTCATGAGAATAAATGGCATGGCCTCCTGAATGACCATTTTCGTACAAGCAGGTGGTGTATTTTCCACCCACTTCCGTGATTCTCAATGGAGCATCCTCCACTCGTGACCTCCCCCTGACCGCCGTCGGGTCCTTGGAGGAGACGCTGACTTGTGCAGGCAGTCCCAAGCGTGGCTCATCCTGACCCCCAACGACACAGTGCAACCGACCAGGTGCAACCGACGGACACCGACGGTCTCCAGGTGAAACGAGTCATCGGGCCGTCACGACGAGTCCTCCGTGGCCGTTTTGGGGGAGCGGAGGGAACGGGACCCCGGACGGTTCCAGCAGACCACGACTACATGGTGAGAGAACCCTATTTGGGGGAACCGAAAGAGAGAGAGAGAGAGAATTTTCAAGTATATCTATTATCTATTGATATCTATTGTATTGACGGAGATTCTCCTAATTCTTCGACATCCACATCACGTCCGTAGCTTCAAACGTCATCTGAGGCCCAGTCTGGCTGCTTCACACGGACCTCCGCCTGCACCACGAAGATCGGTTGAGAGATTGCACTTGCGAAATGATTGTATAGCTAGTAGCGTTAGAGGTCCTTTTGTACCGTGTATTACAATATATATATATAATATATAGATATAGATAGATCGGTTTTTATTTGTTGTTCTTTTATCACAGTGAATGCACATAAAGTTGGAAGGACAACACAAGATAGCATCAACTCTTAATCAAACTAGAACGAGTATAGGTGGCTTCTAGACGAGCCATCTTTTCATAGTTCAGCCCACCATCCCTGTCATCCCCCATCCCCAGTCTCTCCAAACTCAAGAAAAAGCCACATGACCGGCCATGGCATTTTTTTGAGGCTCTCCGCCGCTCCGCCTGGAGTTTTCCAGAGAAGCCCAAGAAGATCAATGTTGCTGGCCCTCGAACTCCGCTCAGGACGGCCTCGCGTCAGTGACACATGACTCGAGAGCAAAATGGGACGACACGAATTGGCGACGGTGGGATTTCAGGTTTCATTCGTTTCATCTCAAAACCATTTTGTTTGGCTCGGAATTATTTGAAGGATTTTGAAGGAAATATCACGGGTAGAATGTTTATCCAGAATGTTCACCCAGATCCATGTTCCAGCCAAAACGGTTTGTTACACCATGTTACACCAACAGAATGAGATTCAACAAGATTAGGATCTATACAGGTTTTTAAGATAGAGCCTGGCAAGAAAACCTCCTGGGCTAGAACCTAGAACAATGTCACGTCAATGCAGAACGGTTGAATGAACATGTCCCCCTATCTTCTCAGAAACGATAATCATGTTCGACAAAGCCCTCAGAACCGTGACTTGTCCACGAAGCTCGGCGGTTCTCGTAACGAGTCCACTTCTATGGGTTCACCGTATGGCCGTATGGTTTGCCACAGCGACCTTCTTTTAAACCCCGGTCACCAAGGCATCGGGGTTGAACGGCGCGCACACACTGTTGATTTGCTCGGCCTTGGCTGGGTAATATTCCCAAATCTTCTCACCTGACGCGTGGCAGTGAAGACGGCGAGGCCGAACAACATCGACTCGAGCACGGCTGGCGAAGTGCTGGAGACTCCGCAGCACCATGGGACCAAGTAATATCGTTACAGTGTACAGTATATATTCTTAATTTAGATAGGTTGCTGAGAGAAAGCCAAACACCGCTTTCAAAAGAAGCTTTGTAGGCCAACATGATCTCCAAAGGTGCCCTGTCACTGTCGGCTGAATGGACTATGCAGCAATGGTAAAACCTACTGGTAGTAAGGATGCTAGTAGGGGCTCCTGGCATCGCTACTAGGAGCGAAGACGCTACTAGGGGCTCCTGGCCGTACTACTAGGAGCATCCTTACTACTAGTAACAAGATGCACATCAGTGCCCTGATCGTAATCTATAGTATGAATGGTCAGTATTCGTTCCAACGCGAAGGTCCAAGGCTGACACCGTTGATGGAGATGAGCTGATCGCCCGCAATGACACCGGCACGGGCTGCAGGACCGTCCTCAGTCGTCCGCTAAGAAAGCAGACTGAAGGCTTGCTGTAGTAAGCAGACTGTAAGAAGCCATTGTG